GATACCACTCGCTGTGTTTCATGCCCTCTGGGCCCCTCAGGAGCCTCCACCATGCATTCGTGCTTCGCAGGCCTACCCCCTCGCCTGACAGGGGCGGTGACCTCGCCGTCCAGCTCGTCGTCGCGAGGCCCACCCCCTCGCCTCGCAGAGGAATCCGCCGTGTAGATCTCCACCGCGTCCTCAGGCCTCCCCCCTCGCCTGGCAGGGGAACGAGCCGTCTCGTTAGCCATCGCCTCCCCAGGCCTACCCCCTCGCCTGGCAGGGGAGACCCTCGCCGTAGTCTTGCCCGCAATCCTGCGCCGCGGTCGCGAGCTCGCCGCCGAAGTCGCTGTCGTCGCGGTCGCCGAACTGCTCGCCACCGTTGCCTTCCATGGCTTGCGCAGGCGCACAGGAGCGGCGGAGGGCGTGTCCCCGAGCACACGAGTGGCCTCATCAGCAGCCTCCTCAGCCTCAGACAGTGGACACGATGGGGCGTCCGCCCTAGATCCGACCTTAGACTGCCCATCTGCTGCAAGCCATCCGATACGCTGCTGAAGAAATACTGCTCGGTCCACGTCCTGATCATCCCCAGGTGCTGGTTTACGCGGAGGTGGTGGTCGAGGTCGGTCTGGGGCGCGGTCTCCCACTTGCCGTCTGAGCATATTCCGTACTTCCGCAAGTGCCTGCATATGTTGAAGCTCCAGACGTACTCGCTCTTCATGTGGTGCTTGCCGCAGTCGATGAATGAAAGCATCACGGCTTGCGACAGTGTGCCGCCATGCACTCGCACAGATTTCATCGATGATCTGCTGCAGCGTCCTACCAGGGAACAACCTGAAGAGGAGGTGCCGTAGGGGGTGGTTGCCGCCTTGATTGAACATCTCTGTGACGAACGCAGCACACCACTCCAGCCACGGTCCACTGTTACTCGCCAGACACGTGTAATCTTCGAACCATAACGCCGCCCAATCTCTGAGGTCCACTCGCATGTCCGTGTAGTCCTCGACGGCTCGGTCGTCAACCAGCCCAGGAGGAGGAAGTCCCATGCCCGTCGGTGCGTTTTCGCCTGCCGCCGTCTTGGTGGATCTCCTTCGTCCAGCAGCGGCGACGGAGCCTGGACGCTGCTGCACGGCAGCATCCAGGACTTGCGTTCTAGCAACAAAACGTGGCGACGTAGCCTGGGGATGCTGCACCGCAGCCACCAGGACTTGCGATCTAACGCCAGTAGTAGGCGACGATTGGGCCTGGGGTGTCCGACTAACGGCATCCAGGGCTTGCGTTCTAACGCCCTCCAAGCTCTTCATGATGCCGCTGTTGCCCAGCATTGTGTTCGCGTCCTCGATCTGGTGCTTCCTGGCCACATCCTTGGCGCGGATTCTCTCGTGCAGCCTGGCCATGCGCTGCTCAAAGTCATATCGGCCGTCAGGGGCAGGTCGATCAACTCGAGTAACCACCTTCTCAGGCTGCTGATGCCGTGGCCCTCGATACTGCAGCGGCATGCTGGCGTCGATGTGCTTGGCCAGCTTCTTGTGCGGCCCGATTCCCTTCCGCAAGTTGCTGAGAACTTCGATGCCTTTGGTCGTCGGCCAGGTGCACTGCTCACGCAACTTGAGCTTCCTTCTCTGCTGCGCCCAAGCCCCGCACTTGATGCACACGAACACTGTCGCTTTGCATGTCATGTCACTAAGGTCGCCCTTCTGGTTGACTGCCACCAACCTGTGACCCAAATTGTTAGCTATGTGTTCCTTGAGAAAAGACGGCGTCCCAGCACACCCATTAAGCTGATCATCGCCAGGCTGCCGTAGGCGTAGACAACGCGCACACTGCTGACCGAGGTCCGTATCCTGCCAGTCGTGCCAGCTGTCAGTCCTGATGCTCTTGATGCGCTAGTAGCCCGTGCTGTTCCTCTGCCACCGCTCTTCCTCTTGGTCGAAGATGGGCATGATGTGCGCGATCAGCTTAGTGATGTCCTTACACAGAAGCTGGTGCTGCTCTAGCCGTTCTCCTAGCTCATTAGAGATTGCCTCATGCCGTCCAGCTCCTTCTGGCGCGTAGTGATCCGCCACGACGTTGCCATCCGTGATGCGCTTGGTCTAGGCATCGAGGTTGGCGTAGTCTTCCCCAGATCTGTGAGCCTTGACGTGTGGAACCGCTTTCACGTGGGCGAGCCAAGGCAGGCTCTGGGCAAAGCCGAAGACGCCGCCGCACCGCTGCGTGACCTGCACCTGCTGCTGAGCCGACTTATTGAACAGGTTGATCGCCCCTTTGAAGTCCGCGTGCAGCGTAGTAGGTCGGTCAGCCGCCTGACACGAAAAGGCAAATGCGAGGTACTCGGCCATGGCCGAGGTTTGCGGCAGGCTAGCTGGCACCGCCGCGTACATCACTCGCAGCGCATCCGTGCCTTGGGGATTGAGCAATACCGTCGCCCATCCTGCCCGCTGCAGCTCAAGTAACGCCGGTATGGTGCACGACCCGTCGGTGGCAAACTCGATCTCCTCCGTGTCCGACGGCACCGCGTGCTGTACCATATCCTCAGGGCCTTCGTCCACATCAGCACCGTCGACTGTGACCACGCAGGCTTGAGTGCCGAGATCCATTTTCGGTAGCTCTTCATCATGAAAGGTGAAGCATCCTGTCACAAGTCGTCCACCCTCGCCGTCATCACGTAGACGTTGTAGGACATGCTCCTCTACTTCTGCATCAGCTCGAACCACGGCGACTTCAAGAAACTGACATTCCACCAGTCGGTGTAGTACCGTGTCGACTTCGCCGCACTTGCACTTGCCGTCGGTGATGTAGCCCCTGCTTCTGGCCCGCGATCGTGTCCAGATACCGTCGCACGCGCAGCTCATGATGCAGAACTTCTGGTGGGTGTTGAACTTCCTGCTGTTCAGCCTGATGTAGGGGGCCACGAGGTCGAAGGAGACTCGCAGCGAGGAGTCCTAATACCATTTCACACCCAGAGCTAGTTCATGCTGTCGGTGAAGACCCTGTGCCAGCAGAGTCGCGAGCATGACGGGCGTGGTCTGGGTGATGTCCACGATGTCCCCGCGCTGATTCCTCCATTGGGTCCAATTCACGACTTCCCAACCTGCCCTTTGGACGCACATAGCTGCTCGTTGTAGTGGTCCTCGTGTTTGACTCCACTGCGTAAGTATCCCTGGTGCCGTAACCGCATTGTCCCACCACTGAATCAGCTAGCTGAAGTCGACGGTGGCGGCCTGGGGGCAGTGGTTGGCGATCCAGCACATGCGGCACCACTGGAGGGCAGAAGCCAGCGCCTCGTGTACCGCTGGATCTCCAAGAAGGACAAGCTTTGCCGATGCTGAAACTCCCTCATGGTAAGGTTTCCGCTGGCTCTGGCAGGTTTTGCGAAATTTGACGAGCTCGCTGTCACTCATTCCGTTGATCTCTACTCCCAAGGTGAGCGCAGGCTTGGCCCCCGTCCTGTAGATGCGCGATATGCGCTCCGCCGCCTTCGTTGGGATCGCCTTCCGAAATTTACTGAGTTTGCGGAGCCTCTGATGATGGCGACGGGCTCTAGCTTTGCACTTTCCTCGCGCACCGCCTGCCCCGCGCCTCTTTCCCTTAGCGAAATCGGCGCCCAGGCAGGACACTGCTGGCTTGACCGACTGCTGCTGCACTTTGAGGCCCTCTGCGATCCGCTTGCTGATGTCGTCCGAGCTGCTCGCGCTGGCAAACTTGTCGCTGATGGTCGCCTGCAGCTTGCGCGCCACCTCCCGAAAACCACAACCTGCACGGATCGCCTGCTGGACCGCCTCCTCTTTGGCGTCGCCCTCCACGCCGACGCCAGTGTCGTCGATGTAGGACGAGAAGGAGATGTACTGGTGCAGCGCAACGTAGGCGTCGTACTCCTCAACGGCGTGAGCCTTGATGACTATGTCTGCAGATCCATCTCATGCAGGGAGCCCATATGACGCATACTGTGGCCGCAAACCATGGTGAGAACGTGCTCGAATGATCCGCGGGCTCTGCCATTGGTTGAATATCAACTTGATGCGACCATCCTTCGCACCCAGACGGCGCAGCTTGTCGCGAACCTGAGCCAGCTCGATCGTCTCGTAGTACTTGCTGTAGTCAGCGATGAGGGTCGCCGCATGCCTGATCCTTGATACACACGCTTCAGCCCGCGCCGACAGCTTCCAAGCACTGTCAATCGCCGACCTGCCCGAAGCCGCTCCCCAGCATCTTCTTGCCACGTGGTCTTGAAGTTCATCAAACTCAGCTCGCCTCGCACGCTGCCATGCCCGATAACTGGGCGAGTAGAGGATGATGAGGCGGTGGCCACCTGCCGCTTTCGGTAGCATCGGCATGACCACCCACGTGAGCTGCTTGGGGCACAGTCCAATCCTTTCGCTGGTTTCCCACAGCGCGCTGAGGACCTCTAAGCCAGCGTCAAACAAGTGCTGGTAGTGCGACGGGTGGATACCATCCAAGCTGCCAGACGTGCGCGTCGAGAAGCTCGCTGATGCTCGCTTGATGGCCGACGCCGTCGCTCTCGGAAGGCTGCTTCTGTTAGGTGCCCAAGCTGGTGGCGCTGTGGACGTCGATCGCCATAGTTGGATGTGCACGTTTTCAGCATCTTCAACTATACAATGAGGATGAGATTGGAACTGGTCAGGTCGGCCGCGAACGATCGTGGGTGCCTGAACGTCCTGGTACTTCGTCACTCGGCGTAGCCGTCCAGCTCCATTCTCACTAGCTCCATCGCACCATTGCTTCCACCGCTGAGCGCTGTCACGATCCGCTGCTTGCTTGGCCATGCCGATGTCCTCCGCCGCCTCCTCGATCATGTTGATGAGTTGATGAGGTCCTGCGCTGAGGTATCCGGTGCCACGAGTGCCCGCCGAGCGTGAGCCACTACGGCATCCAGACGCTGACTGACTCCTTGCCCAGCATAGTCGGTGGAGACGAATCCGTGGATCTCATCTTGCAGCTTGGTGGCATCGGCCGAGGGCCGGTGGGACTGGAGCTTCGCTATCACTGATAGGCGCATCCTCCTACCACTTCCAGCCGTCAGCTACAGCCTGGATGCCGTCTGGGTCCGACCCTTCATACATGTAAGAGGCCCACTTTGGTCGTAAGTAACCGCCGTACGAGTACGCCTGGATTGGGGTGCCCGCGAGATGCCCAAGCCTGATAGCCGCCTGCGCAGCAAACCGAGCCCACGCGGTAGACAGCAGACGCCAAGCAGAGCCCACCGAGCCAGACAAGGCCATCTCCGCAGCACCCTCAGCGTAGCTTCTCTCGAGCTCCCAGTCGTGCTCGTCCTGCAGCATGGGCTCCACCTGCTTGGACGCCGCGATCTTGCCCCCGCCCACGTAGGTGAGGTACGTCAGCTGCTTGCCCATCGTAGCAAGCTCCACGACCACTGGCCGATGTGGTTTGATTGCCCATGTCATGTCCGCTTGCATGGCCTTCGCGAGCCGCATGGCCCCCGAGGTGAGAGCGAAATGATTGATCACCGAGTTGGCCGTCGCCGTCCTGCATGTGGTGGACTTGGGCACCAGCGGGGAAACCTGGGCGTGAGCCGTGAACGAAGATGCCTCGACCTCCGCCGCCGTCATGTTCCAGTCACCACCTATGATGGAAGGGTTCGGCTGCCCTGCCATCGCCAGCCCCGCATTCATGAGGATCTTGGCGTTCTTCAGGGACATTCCCTCGCCCGCGCGCAGGTAGATGTTGAAGATGTTGAGCGGTGGCCACCCAGGAACTTCAACCACTGCATGTTGGGCCCGAAACGGTACCAACTCGCTGCCGAAGGATATCTGCTCGTTGACACAAGACCTCCGTGCTGCAAGGCTCGTCGCAGGGTAAGTCGGCCCACGTAGCCCGATGCCTTCACGCGCAAAGATGGCCAGACCGGCCGCGGGGAGCTCGCCTGCAGTAGGGGAGCCTGGAACAACCATGACGTTCCACTTGTTGCTGGCACACCAGGAGCTGAGGGCCTCGCACCCCCAGTCGTGGCACCCTATCCCCTGCGCGAGCACGATGAGGGACTTGGTGCAGCTTGGCCTCTTCTTAAGCGTCTGCTTCCCTTGGTTCGCGTTGTGCGTCTCGACGAAGTGGGATTCCATCACCTCACTCGGCACCGAGGCCGCCACCGAGTCGCAACGCCGATCGCTCAGCCCTGTCACGGCTGGCACCCGTCGCCCAGCGCGCACGCTGCTAGGAGCCGCCCGTCTTGGCCGCCCCCCCGCTGTCGAGCTTGCGATGCTTCGTGTTCTGGATGTTTGCGACCATATCGGCAAGCTGCTCGGGGCTGACGGACACGTCGCCCTCGCTCTTGCCCTGGCACATGGCTCGGTGGAGTTCCTCGACGTCATCTTTTTCCCACATAAAGGACGACTCGCGTTTATCATGCCGACTTCCCTGCTCGTCTGCAGCAGGTTTCCCTCCTCCCTGGTGCTCGCCGTCGCCGTTGTGAGATTCAGGCTCGCGAGCAGGAGGAGGCTCAGGAGACCTCGCCTGGGCAAGTTTGGCCGCCATGGTCTGCCTGTACAGCTCCTCCATCTTGGCGAACAAGGGGTTGGCCGAGAACGAGGTATAGAACTGCAGCAGGCCGGGGTCCGACTTGAGCTGGTGAAGCTCGGGGTCGAGCCGCAGGATGTCGGGGAGCACCTCCAGGCCAGCCTCTGCCGTGCCACTGAGCTTGGCCGCGTGCCCAGCGAGCTGCATCGTGAGAATCTGCTCCTCGCCGATCTTGCTCTCCAGGAAGTCCTTCTTCTCGTCCAGCTCATTCTGAGCCTTCTCCAGCTTTTGCTGCAAGGACTGCAGGTCATTCTTCGCCGTGCTGATCTGCTTCTGAACCCGTTGAAGCTTCTGCGTGCACTGCTTGTGGGCCATGGCAGGCGTGCGCAGCGACTGGACCTGCAGCTTGGTCGCCTCCAGCTTCTTCTGAAGGTCACGCACCAGCTCGTCCTCGCCATCGTCCTTGTGCATCTTGATGGTCTGCTCGTACTTGGAGATTTTCGCCTGCAGCTCCGTACGCTGCGCGACCGATGAAGACGCCGCCACTTTGTCTCCATCTTCACCTTCATCGATCTCCATGTCCGAGGGCTTGCCGTTATACTTCTTAAGCTTTTTGTTCTCTGCCGTGAGCTGCTTGAGCTGGTTCTGCATCTTGGCCATCTCCTTGGCCTCGGGAGCCCAGGGCGCCTGGGTGGACCGCAGGCCCGCCCCACCCAGACTTCGAAGGCGACATCGTAGCAGGTGACCCGCTCTTGCCTGACTCCTTGGCTTTCTGATCTGCTTTCCTTGCCTTCTGCACCACGTAGAAGGGGGCCGCCTTGCCGCAGCGGCAGACGATGCGGCAAGCCCAGTTTGAACTCGTGCCGCAGCTGGGGCAGCCCCACGTGGGTTCACGCGGCCCGTGGAGAACCCGTGCTTGTCGTTCACCAGGCTGCGGCACCATCGATCCCGAGGAGGAGCCGTGGTGCTCGTCGAGCCTCTCTGCCGCGCTCTGCAGCAGGGCCTGGAGGCGGGGCGGGGCCTTGCCCGCCCAGGCGTGCAGCAGGGCGCGATCCGCCGCTCGGCGGAGTCGCGCACGATGATGGCTGGCCGCCTCCCTAGGCGGCGTCGTGCATTGCGCTGGTCTCGGCGCGCGCGGGGGGGCCCTCGCCTGCGCTGGCAGGCACCCACGGGGCACACCTCGCGAGCCGAAACTAGGGAGGAGGGAGGAGGGAGGAGGGAGGAGGGAGGAGCGAGGGAGGGAGGGAGGGAGGGAGGGAGGGACCTCTCTCCTCCTTCGGCCGTCCTCCCCGTCTCCCCCCCCAGTTTCCCCTGCATGGTGGCACCGTCAATCCCCTGGCGCAACGGGGGACGTGAAACGTCGACATGGAATCTGCGACACATCGCCCACAGATCGGCGATGGGCCCCGAGCGGGGCGGACCATCAAGGCGGCCCTGCTGGCGATGTGAAGCGGCGATTGGGGGTCGATGCACTCCACCCTGAGCATACCCCCCCCCCCGGAACGTTGCCCACGGCTGGTTGTGGCTGTTGGTAATAACTCGGCTCCCTGGCGGCCGTTCAGAACGATCCGGGCACGAGCACCCCGCGGCTGGAAAACCGCCGAGGACCGACGAGAACGTCCGAGAACCGAGAACCTCGATCCCCTGATCAGGGATCACACATCGATCCCTGGACCTCTCGTGGGGTGCGCTCTGACTGGATTTTCGAAGCGGATCCAGCCGTGGCCACGAGGGCGCCCAGGAAGATCAAAAGCATTGAACAAGTAAAGGCTAACCGCTGGTCAGAATAAGTAGGTGGAAACCTGAAGTAGGAAGGCGGATAAAGCAGATTGAGTTCGGGCCCGCCCAGCTAGTAACAACGTGCAGCAGACGCCGATCGGTTCTTGAAGTAGAAGGGCGCTTCATGCATTTAGATTGGGATCTAAGAGGCCTCCTAGATGAGATCCGAGTAGATGGGGTCGGAAGATCGCGCCGCATCAGCGACATATCTGCGATGCATCGGCGACGTCGGCGTGGGGAAACACGGTCTCCGCATCGAGCCGCATCGCGGATGTATCGGCGATGCGGCGCGATCCTCGGACCCCATCTACTCGGACCCCATCTAGGAGGCCTAGGATACAGCAGCAGCCCACTGGTTCTCGAAGTAGGAATGCTCCTCAACTGGGACCAGGGAGTGCGACAATACCTACTCCAGGTTTCGTAATAAAGGGAGGGGGGTCTCATTTCGGGAGGGGTCTCTTCCAGGCTACCTTGGAGGACCTGGGGGGTCTGGGGACGATGTTTTGGAGGGTTCTCCCACGGGGGAGGTCTGAAATGGCTTGTCTTGGAGGGTCCAGACCCCCTCCCTTTTATTACGAAATCTGGAGTACCTCCTTCCAACCACCGGCGTGCACGACGAAGACGCAAGCGCAAAGGCAGGCATCGCGAGCTGCAGGCCCCCACCCCCAGCGGAGTCTCCCCGTGGTCCGCCCGGCGCTGGAGCTCCAGCGCCCGCGAGAGCCCGCCGGATCGCAGGAGCCCGTCCTCGGAGCGGGTCGGGGGCGTCCAAAAGAGGGGGGCGTCCAAGAGGGGGGGGGGGCAGATCATGGCACGAGGCACGTGCGCTGCCCGGGGGGGGGGGGGCCTGGGGACATACTGAAAGAAGAAGAGGCGCCACGAAATCTGGGGAGACATCATGGCCCTGGCCATGGCATCCCCCCCCCCTAGTCATCACCCCCCACTTGGCCGCACCCGATCGAAGCGGGGGGGAGGGAGTGCGTCGGCCGGGCCCCAGACGTGAAGGCTATTCGCCTTCGCCTGGGATGGGGAGGGCAGAGGGGTGTCCGCCGTGACGCGGGGGTTCTCCTTATGCATGCAAACATATGTGTGCATATTTGTTTATGTATATATATATATATATACACACAGGTCAGCCTTCATGCAGCTGCGGAGTCATGGGGGATGTTCTTGCCACGGTCTCTGCCTCCCGTTCCGCAGCCTGTCCTGGGGTTTCAGCTCGATCCCGCCCAGAACGATCTCGACTGCACGCAAGAGTGACCCTGGGTAAGAGTGATCTTCTTCGTGCGCGGCTTTGTGGGGGCCGCGGGGGTGACCAAAAGCGAGCGCGCGAGACGCAACTGCCGCATCGCGTTCGGCGATCGGGGGGCCCCATTGGGCCCGCACCAAAGATCACTCCGGCGAACGGTCACCTGGCCATCGCTCGGACGTCCATTCCCTGCGTTATTTTTCGGTTTCGTGCGTGGTTTTTTCGCCAAGTGATCAAGGATGCTCCTCGATGGTCCTCGCCGAAGGAAACATGCACACGTCCGAGCGATGCAGACGATAGCGCTGCAGACCTGCACCCGGCGTTGGAGAAAAAAAAGGCTTCCACAAAGAAGGGCGCAGGGCGCAGGGAGCACGGCAAAGGGCGCGTGCTCCGAGGCCGAAGAGCCGCGGGCGACGGCCTGGGTGCGGGCCAGGTCCTCAAGAACACGACGCGGGAGGTGCCCGCGGCACAGGAAGGAGGACGCAGCAGAGGAGGGCGCGGTCCCAGGACGCAGCGAAGCTCAGGGGGGATCGGGGGGGGGAAAGGGACTCCTCCCTCCCACCCCTCCTCTCTCCCTCACCCCATCCCTCACCCCCTCCTCCCCTCCTCCATCCTTCCCTCATCCTCTCTCCCCCCCCTTTTCCTCCCCCCCTCATCCCTCCCTCATCCTCCCTCGCTATCTCCTCCCCTCCTCCATCTCTTCCTCCCTTTTCTCATGCTCCACACTTTTCCTCCTCCCTCCACCTCTGTCCCTTCTTCTCCTCCTCCTCCTCCTCCTCCTCCTCCTCCTCCTGCTCCTCAGCTTCCTCTTCCTTGTAGTCTCTCCTTCTCTTCCCCTCCACCTCTTCCATCTCTCATTCGTATGTGTGAACCCCCTGGCGCACCAACACACGCGCCCGACTTGTAACTTCCGACCCTCAAGCCAAACACATCAGACTGTTCAAGGGTCGATCGTTTTCAAACCGAGGCAATCGACGTAGCGCCGCGCACAGTCTTATGTGACGTCTGCAGCAATGCTTCAAAAGTAGCAAGCTGGTGGCATTCTAAATGCGGCCCTCGACTTAGCACCGCGCACATTCGCCTTCATCGCGTGAAATAATCATCAGGATGGATGGCGACACATGTTCAACATAAGGTTCTTACCGAAGCGTCGCGCAAGCTCGTCTTACAGTTACAACGATGGAGGCATGCCTGTTCTCAAACATGTGGTTCTCACATGTAGTTGGCGCCACGCACGTTCGTCTTAAAAACTGGCAACAGATACGTAGATGGTCGACGGTCCCATTTCAAGATGGTGCTCTCTCACGAGACTCCCATGCG